GTACATGGTGTACTTCTACTCCACTACAGTTCAGAGGTACATGGTGTACTTCTCCTCCACTACAATTCAGAGGTACATGGTGTACTTCTACTCCTCTACAGTTCAGAGGTACATGGTGTACTTCTACTCCACTACAATTCAGAGGTACATGGTGTACTTCTACTACACTACAATTCAGAGGTAAATGGTGTACTTTTACTCCACTACAATTCAGAGGTACATGGTGTACTTCTACTCCACTACAGTTCAGAGGTACATGGTGTACTTTTACTCCACTACATGTGTTTAATAGCTTACCCTTAGTTACTTTACAGACTTGGTTAGATGCCTATTGGTTACTGGTGGCGTTTTATGAGTTTATGTTTATCAGTTTATTTGTTCATATAGACACCTAAAGTATATATTATATGATATAAATATCTTTATGTGAGATAAGGGATCGTTGCTCATGATATGATAAAGTGTGTTATATGCTCCAGGAAGGATACAGTATGTTGTTGAATATATATTAAAGATAGCTATATACTGTATATAACATTACATTAATTGTAATTTAATATACATACATCAATCATTTATGGATAAAAGGATAACTTCACCGTTTATGAACATGATGTGTTTATACATGATTATATGTGTAGATAACCTGTATAGTTAACATGTATCAGTGTTGTTCGCTTTGCAGTGTAGTTCTCTCTAACACTTTGTTATTTTACTTAAAGTTGAGATGATCACTAAACCTATAAGCCATAAAGAAATGGGAGATGCAGAATGGACGGGCTTTGGCCCTCAGGAGGGATAAACCCGCTCCAAGGAAACGGAAGTGACGTGACCTCTGTCAGAAGCCCCCAGAGCCCAGCCTTCTCCCTGTGGTCTGCCAGGAGCCCCCAGAGCCCAGCCTTCTCCCTGTGGTCTGCCAGGAGCCCCCAGAGCCCAGCCTCCTCCCTGTGGTCTGCCAGGAGCCCCCAGAGCCCAGCCTCCTCCCTGTGGTCTGCCAGGAGCCCCCAGCCTCCTCCCTGTGGTTTTCCAGGAGCCCCCAGCCTCCTCCCTGTGGTCTGCCAGGAGCCCCCAGCCTCCTCCCTGTGGTCTGCCAGGAGCCCACAGCCTCCTCCCTGTGGTCTGCCAGGAGCCCACAGCCTCCTCCCTGTGCTCTGCCAGGAGCCCACAGCCTCCTCCCTGTGGTCTGCCAGGAGCCCCCAGCCTCCTCCCTGTGGTCTGCCAGGAGCCCCCAGCCTCCTCCCTGTGGTCTGCCAGGAGCCCCCAGCCTCCTCCCTGTGGTCTGCCAGGAGCCCCCAGTCTCCTCCCTGTGGTCTGCCAGGAGCCCCCAGCCTCCTCCCTGTGGTCTGCCAGGAGCCCCCAGCCTCCTCCCTGTGGTCTGCCAGGAGCCCACAGCCTCCTCCCTGTGGTCTGCCAGGAGCCCCCAGCCTCCTCCCTGTGGTCTGCCAGGAGCCCCCAGCCTCCTCCCTGTGGTCTGCCAGGAGCCCCCAGCCTCCTCCCTGTGGTCTGCCAGGAGCCCACAGCCTCCTCCCTGTGGTCTGCCAGGAGCCCCCAGCCTCCTCCCTGTGGTCTGCCAGGAGCCTCCAGCCTCCTCCCTGTGGTCTGCCAGGAGCCCACAGCCTCCTCCTTGTGGTCTGCCAGGAGCCCCCAGCCTCCTCCCTGTGGTCTGCCAGGAGCCTCCAGCCTCCTCCCTGTGGTCTGCCAGGAGCCCCAGCCTCCTCCCTGTGGGCTGCCAGGAGCCCCCAGCCTCCTCCCTGTGGTCTGCCAGGAGCCCCCCAGCCTCCTCCCTGTGGTCTGCCAGGAGCCCCCAGTCTCCTCCCTGTGGTCTGCCAGGAGCCCCCAGCCTCCTCCCTGTGGTCTGCCAGGAGCCCCCAGCCTCCTCCCTGTGGTCTGCCAGGAGCCCACAGCCTCCTCCCTGTGGTCTGCCAGGAGCCCCCAGCCTCCTCCCTGTGATCTGCCAGGAGCCCACAGCCTCCTCCCTGTGGTCTGCCAGGAGCCCCCAGCCTCCTCCCTGTGGTCTGCCAGGAGCCCCCAGCCTCCTCCCTGTGGTCTGCCAGGAGCCCACAGCCTCCTCCCTGTGGTCTGCCAGGAGCCCCCAGCCTCCTCCCTGTGGTCTGCCAGGAGCCTCCAGCCTCCTCCCTGTGGTCTGCCAGGAGCCCCCAGCCTCCTCCCTGTGGTCTGCCAGGAGCCCCCAGCCTCCTCCCTGTGGTCTGCCAGGAGCCCCCAGAGCCCAGCCTCCTCCCTGTGGTCTGCCAGGAGCCCCCAGCCTCCTCCCTGTGGTCTGCCAGGAGCCCCCAGCCTCCTCCCTGTGGTCTGCCAGGAGCCCCCAGCCTCCTCCCTGTGGTCTGCCAGGAGCCCACAGCCTCCTCCCTGTGGTCTGCCAGGAGCCCCCAGCCTCCTCCCTGTGGTCTGCCAGGAGCCCACAGCCTCCTCCCTGTGGTCTGCCAGGAGCCCCCAGCCTCCTCCCTGTGGTCTGCCAGGAGCCCCCAGCCTCCTCCCTGTGTCTGCCAGGAGCCCCCAGCCTCCTCCCTGTGATCTGCCAGGAGCCCCCAGCCTCCTCCCTGTGGTCTGCCAGGAGCCCCCAGCCTCCTCCCTGTGGTCTGCCAGGAGCCCCCAGCCTCCTCCCTGTGGTCTGCCAGGAGCCCCCAGCCTGCTCCCTGTGGTCTGCCAGGAGCCCACAGCCTCCTCCCTGTGGTCTGCCAGGAGCCCCCAGCCTCCTCCCTGTGGTCTGCCAGGAGCCCCCAGCCTCCTCCCTGTGGTCTGCCAGGAGCCGACATGTGACATGTACTGTTTGTAGTAACGTGTTGTTTATTGTTCTCTCTTATCCTCTCGCCTGTATCTACTTGTTTATAACTAATGCTGTTGATATATTGTGATTTTAAAAAGGTGTGTGTTTCCATCTGTCCGGGACGCGTCTATCGTTTTTCCAACCCAGTTTAGATCCCACTTCCGCATTACGCAAGCATCGACGCGGCGTTACGTCACAGCATCAACCTGGCGTCACATCCCTATGGTTACATCACTGCCTCACGCGACACACCCGCGAAATCTGAATCTGACAAGCGAAATACCGTCCTTTTAAACGCCGCATAATATACAATATACAATATACAATATACAATATAATAGTGCTTCTTTGTCAATATGACTGACGACCACACTTATGCAGTGCTGAGGTAATGTTAATTCATCATTTAATATTAATTCCTGATGGATATAAGAGGGATACATTAGCAAACATCTGTATATATAGCCTATATATATATATAATGTTTCGTTTTTTTGTTTGTCATCTAACATATTCACATTTTGACCTGTTTAGGATGTAAAGGTATCTATTTAATATTTTATTTAAAGGTAGACATTTATAATATGTTATAAATGTCTATTTTGTTATATAATACAACATATAACATTTGACATTAATAACATATTAACGTTTTGCCATGTAAAAATGAAATGTTGGGACATTTATAAAAATGTATTCCTTTACATAAAAGTGCTTTCCAGAGGTGTAAGAAGTGATAAGATCTTGTACTTGAGTAAAAGTACAAGTACCAGAGTGTAGAAATACTCAAGTATAAGTACTAAAGTATTAGCATCAGAATAGTACCTGAATAACTATAAGCTGTTTTTTTTGCTTTCATTTCAGACCTCGTGTTTTAGTGTGCTCTGGAGGCACACAGAACAATATAGAGGAGTACCCGCAGTTGAAGGTATCTGATAATAAGACCTATCTCTCAATACTATGATGAACATCAAATTACATTGAATGTGTTTGCTCATATCAATGCCTCACCTACACATCATCATCATCATCATCATCATCATCTAAACTATACCACTTAATAACAGACTTATTGTCCAGATAAAAGACAAGGCATTACAAAGAATAACATGCAAACACATGAAGTACATTTAAAGAGAATATAAACATGTTAGCATAACTATACCAATGTTTTAGGATTTGTATTTTTCAGACTTTTTAAGCCTGCAAATATAATGTGTATTCTACTCTAGTTCTAAGTAAAGTCAGTACGTTTTAAACCTCATGGTCCTCTTTAGTTCTTCAGATCATGGCAAAACTCTTACTGGTATTCTGAGCTGACACAGTATTATGTGTGTGGATTTGAATGAATAGTTGTCTGTTTCCTTGTAGGGTTGGCTACCAGGTGAGTTCAGATACCACGTGTGCCAGTATGAAGAGGTGGTTTCACTGGGGGACCACACTGGTTTTGAGGCCACTTTGAGGCTGGATGTCCACACTGTGGAACAGGTCAAGGAGTGGGTACAAAAGCTGAAGGGGTCATCAGGGGTGACATGGAGGGTGGATGTTACCCGACCCAGGTTGGGGAAGCGGGTTCTTTTCAAAGTAAGTGTTGTCTTGTTGATATTTGTTGAAGTTACCTTTTAATTATCCTTTTTACTTTGACCTGTACTATAATAAATCTGCTTTATTTTGTTCAGGCAAGTTATAAGTGTCAGCATAGGGTGAACCCGAGAGCAGCCAAAAGCAGCAAGAACACCTGCTGTCAAGCAAAAATGCACACGACACTCAAGAGTACTCGTGGGGAAATGAAGTGAGTTTACTGATCCACATACTTATTATTTCACGTTTTGCTTTTTTTACATAATATTGATATATATATTGATTTATGTTATAGGACCGAAGACCCACACATGCCTGACCTACCATTTAAGGTTATTCTAATAAACAGGCACAACCACAATCTTTTTGTTGCGGACGCCATCCGCCACCAAGATGTTGGGGAAAAGGCAAACAACATACTCACAGGGCTCTTTGAAATTGGCCACACTCCAACATCTGCACTGGCGGTCCTGAAACACGACCTCCAAATGGAGTATGGGCAGCGTTATGTGTACGTGTCGGCCAACAGGGAGATTTGCCCCAACCTGCCTTATGTACAGAGGTGGGTATCACATCTGGAAACATGGTCAAGATACCTACTACCCACTATATAAATAACGATGCAATAAAAACTATGATGTATTCAGTGAATACAAATACGCTTTTCTACTGCATGTAAGTGACACCCATACCAACTAATTCATTTTCTACCCAGACTGTTCCACAAGGTGTGTAGGGAGGAGTATGGCACGCAAACAGGTCCCACGATGTTGGCAGCGCTCAAGCTTCAAGTGGAGATTTACAACAATAAGTGTAATGACACCTGTGCTCTCCTGGGAACAACTTCCCAGGGAGCTCCTCTTGTGGTTGTGTGTTCTCCACTCATGAAGAAAGTGCACCAACTGAAGCACAGTGGGGAGCTGTGCTTCATAGATTCCTCAGGGAATATGGACAGGGAGAACTGCAGGGTATTCCTCCTCCTGACCCACAGCTGTGCAGGTGGCCTCCCTCTGGGCATTCTCCTCTGCCAGTCTGAGGATGAGCAGACTATTGCTCAAGGGCTGGAACAGCTCAAACAAGTTGTTGGAGAGAAGGGCTTTGCTGGCAGAGGACACGAAGGGCCACAACTGGTCATCACAGATGACTGTAGGGCAGAGAGGGGAGCTCTGGGAAAAGCATTTCCTAAGGCCACACTTCTCCTGTGCTCCTTCCATCTGCTACAAGCAGTTTGGAGGTGGCTGTGGAGCAAGGAGAGTGGGGTCACTCACGGAGACAGACCGGCACTTTTTGCCATTGTAAAAGAGATGCTTTACTGTCAGGAGATAGGCAGTGTGGATAGGCTTTACAGCGAGGCAAGAGGGCATCCAGTTGTAGCCAGGTTAGTGTTTAATGCAGACAAGTTAGTGATGTTTTGTTTAGCCATATGAGAGAAATTGACTTATTCTTATCAAATAACATCCAACACCCAATGTAATGAAGTGATTAAGCTTTACTGTTTGGATAATTTTTTCTTTTTTTAACCAATTGCAGGTATGAAAAGTTCCTCAGGTACTTGGACCGACTGTACGCCAGAAGAGAGTGTTGGGCCCTCAGTTATAGAGGCAGTTTCCTCACCAGAGGAAACAATACCAACAATTTTGCAGAAGCGGCAATGTGTGTCCTCAAGGACAAAATACTGCAATTAATGGCATCCAATGTAATAAAAAAGGTCAATCAAAGAACTAGATTCCTATACCGGATCTCCTCTCTGGTAAACACAAACATCCTGAAAACTCTGGCAGGAGCACTCATTCAAGGGTACTATGACTATGCTTGCACGTCATGGTACCCTAGCACCTCCAAGGCGCTAAAAATAAAACTTCAAACATCGCAAAATAAACTGGTCAGACTACTGCTTGACCTTCCATCTCGAACCCACCTCACCTCTGCCCACTTTCACAACCTAGGATGGCTTAGAGTAGACGACAGAGTACAGCTACTTGCAATGGGCCTGGTCTACAAGATCCACTACACCTCTATGGTACCCATGTACATGTCAAAACTCTTCCCAAAGGTCAAGGAATACCATGATCATAACACCAGAGGGAGCTCCACAAATCATGTAAAACCCAGATTTGGCACAAAAAAGGGGGAATACACGTTTATCAATTATGCCACATCAAGGTGGAACGCTCTTCCCTGTAAAGGAAAGTAAAACTATACTTACCTTCAAAACCTCTCTTAAAGAGCACCTTCGGGGGAGAGCATTGCAAAACTGGCCCCGGTAATGGTACAAATCTCAACCTGTCGTACAATGGACAGCTTCCCCCCCCCATCTATGTATATACTCGCATTTTAGACTCTGTTACTAACTGTATATCTGTAGACTTGGTATGTCTTAAATGTCCGGTTAGGATGTATTAGAACGAAATCTAAAATGTAAATTGTAAATAAGCCACCTGTATGTAAATTGTAAATAAGTCATCTGTATGTCTTATATGTCTTATATGTCTTAAATGATATGATGAATTGGAAATGGGGGACCCTGATGTAAACAAGACGAAAGTCTTTCTCTGGTCTGCATCCCCTTAACAATTGTATGTTTTGAGCTGTACTGTACTGTACCCAATATACAAGCTGTTAATAAACTTTTCAATCAATCAATCAATCAAAGAGGACAAAGGCCTTCAACCTTCCTCAGCTGTTTGATCTGCTGACCTCGAGGCTGGAGACCTATTATGAGGCACGCTTTGTTGATGTTGCCCTTGGACGCTGGGAATCATTCCAGCGAGCACAATTCCTCCCCCAAGATGGCAACATTGCAGCATTGCATATTCAGCAGGTAATGGATATAACAGCTGAAAAAACATAACATGCTATAGGTTTATCACAGAATCAATACGCACATATGTCACTTGTGTAACAAATACATTTATCCTTGTTTGACTTGTGATTTTGCAGATTGAAGACAAGAAGTTTGTGGTGAAGGGATCTACACAAACTTATGATGTAGACATGGATTTGGAGCTGTGTTCTTGCCCTGCAGGACAAACAGGAGCGCCTTGCAAACACCAGGCAGCAGTGATGAAACATTACAGCTGTTTGTCTCCTTTCTACCAATGAACCCAGAGATGAGAGCAGAGCTGATGAAACATTACAGCTGTTTGTCTCCTTTCTACCAATGAACCCAGAGATGAGAGTAGAGCTGATGAAACATTACATTACAAGCAAAAGGGCCGCCATTTTAAGGCGGGCTTCCAGACGTCAAGGCCCGATGATTGGCTGCCAGCCTACAGCTGTTGCACACAGGAAGTCAGGCGCTGGCTCAAGACAGCGTTTATTTTCTGGGCGCCCTGTGAAACAGAACAGTTCACTGTACCCCTCTGTTTAGAGACAGGACACTTCAGAGCCCCTCTGTTTAGAGACAGGACACTTCAGAGCCCCTCTACACCCTCTGACTCCTCATCACCCCTCTGTTTAGAGACAGGACACTTCAGAGCCCCTCTACACCCTCTGACTCCTCATCACCCCCACCCCTCTGTTTAGAGACAGGACACTTCAGAGCCCCTCTGCACCCTCTGACTCCTCATCACCCCCACCCCTCTGTTTAGAGACAGGACACTTCAGAGCCCCTCTACACCCTCTGACTCCTCATCACCCCCACCCCTCTGTTTAGAGACAGGACACTTCAGAGCCCCTCTGCACCCTCTGACTCCTCATCACCCCCACCCCTCTGTTTAGAGACAGGACACTTCAGAGCCCCTCTACACCCTCTGACTCCTCATCACCCCTCTGTTTAGAGACAGGACACTTCAGAGCCCCTCTGCACCCTCTGACTCCTCATCACCCCCACCCCTCTGTTTAGAGACAGGACACTTCAGAGCCCCTCTACACCCTCTGACTCCTCATCACCCCCACCCCTCTGTTTAGAGACAGGACACTTCAGAGCCCCTCTACACCCTCTGACTCCTCATCACCCCCACCCCTCTGTTTAGAGACAGGACACTTCAGAGCCCCTCTGCACCCTCTATGTATCTCTTTGTATATGTGTATGCCTTTCTTTCTCATTTGTTTTTCCCCGTATGTCTTTGTCATGTCTTATCCCATGTATGACCTGACTTGTCGTGGTAAGTGGGCTTTTGGCCTCAAGGTGTGTCTCAAATGCTGAAATATAACCTCCCTGTTAATACAAATCCATTACCCTACATCACAGTATGAAATGACTAAAGGTCCACTGCCCTCTGCAGTCATGAAATCTTTAATAATAATAATAATAATACATTTTATTTTTATAGCGCTTTTCTCGAACCCAAAGACGCTTTACATTTGGGGAAGGGTAGACAGACAAGTACAGGCAACAAAACAACAACAAAACAACAAAACAGAGAAAAAAAAACAAAAAAAAACAGAAAGCAGTCAGGAGGAAGTGGGGGGGTGGGGGGGGGGGCTTATGGGTATACAGACTTGAAGAGATGGGTTTTGAGGCAGGACTGGAACAGGGTGAGGGACTCAGACTCACGGAGGTCTTGGGGGAGGGAGTTCCAGAGCTTCGGGGCTGCCACAGAGAATGCTCTGTCCCCAAAGCTCCGGAGTTTGGCCCTGGGGATGGAAAGCAAACCGGCTGAGGTGGATCTGAGGGACCGGGGTGGTTGGTAGAGGATGAGGAGGTCAGTGAGGTAGGGGGGGGCCAGGTGGTGGAGGGCTTTGTAGGTGAGTACCAGGAGTTTGTGTTGGATGCGGTGTGAAACGGGGAGCCAGTGAAGTTCTTTGAGGACCGGGGTGATATGATGCCATGATTTGGTGTGGGTGAGGAGTCTGGGGGCTGCGTTCTGGACACGCTGAAGTCTATTGAGGGATGTAGTGCTGATGCCGTAGAGGAGTGCGTTGCAATAGTCCAGGCGGGAGGAGATGAAGGCGTGAATGAGTCGCTCAGCTGCAGGGCGGGTGAGAGAGGGACGGAGTTTGGCGATATTGCGGAGGTGGAAAAATGAGGTTTTTACAACTTGGCGGATGTGGGGCTCGAGGGAGAGGGTGGGGTCAAATATCACGCCAAGGTTGCGTGCCTGGGTGGAGGGGGAAACAGGGGTGCCATCGATGGTGAGTGTCAGGTTGGGGGTTTTGCTGAGGGTGGATTTGGAGCCGATGAGGAGGAGTTCAGTTTTATTGCTGTTGAGTTTGAGGAGGTTGTGTGCCATCCAGGATTTTATAGCAGTCAGACAGGATTCGATGTGGGTGAGGGGGGGGGTTGTGGGGGGATTTGGTGCTGAGGTAAATCTGTGTGTCGTCAGCGTAACAGTGAAAGTCCAGGTTGTAGTGGCGGAGAATCTGACCAAGGGGGAGGATGTAGATGATGAAGAGGAGGGGGCCGAGTACTGAACCTTGGGGAACACCTTGGGTGACTGAAGCTGTGGCAGAGGAGTGGTTGTTGAGGGAGATGAAGTGGGATCTGTCGGAGAGGTAGGACTGGAGCCACCTGAGTGCAGTACCTTCGATACCGATGTCCTGGAGTCGGGTGAGCAGGATGTTGTGGCTCACGGTGTCGAAGGCTGCACTCAGGTCGAGGAGGATGAGGATGTTGAGTGAACCGGTGTCAGCAGAGGTGAGGAGGTCGTTGAGGACTTTGGTGAGTGCCGTTTCTGTGCTGTGATGGGGACGAAAACCAGACTGAAGGGGTTCAAAAAGGTGATTTGTTTGGAGATGGCGGTGGAGTTGTTTGGAGATGATACGTTCTATTGTTTTTGAGAGAAAGGGGAGGTTGGAGATGGGGCGGTAATTACTGAGGGAGGAGGGATCCAGACCGGGTTTCTTGAGGATGGGAGTGACAGCAGCAGTTTTGAAGGCAGAGGGAACGGTTCCTTGGGACAGGGAGGAGTTGAAAAGGTTGACAAGGTAAGGGCAGAGGACGGGGAGGCAGGACTTCAGTAGAGGGGTGGGTAAGGGGTCAAGCGAGCAGGTTGTGGGTTTGGAGGAGCTGATCAGTTTGAGTATTTCAGGGGGGGTAACCAGAGTGAACTGGGAGAGGCGGCCGTGGGGAGGGGGGCTCGGGAGGTCCAGGGAGGTGGAGGGAGAAGTTGTGGCGGTGGGTGTTGGGGGAGATGTTTGTGTGTGAGAAGCAGTGGATAGGGAGAGATTAATGGCAGTGATTTTGTCAGAGAAAAACTGGAGGAATGAACTGCATAAGGTGGAAGTGGATGAAGAGAGGGTGTCAGCACGGGGTTTGAGGAGCTTGTTGACGGTGGAGAAGAGGGTCCTGGGGTTACGGGAGGGGTCGGTAAAGATGGTGGAGAAGTAGGCAGATTTTGCGGCAGTGAGGGCGTCTCTGTAGGTAGTGAGATGGAGTTTGTATGATTCACGGTGAACTGTGAGGGATGATTTCATGGATAGGCGTTCAAGCTGGCGGCCGGTTTGCTTCAATTTACGGAGTGCAGGGGTGAACCAGGGTGAGGAGGTTTTGAAAGTGACGTTTTTTCTTTTGAGGGGGGCCAGGCTGTTGAGGGAGGCGAGTAGGGTGGAGTTAAGGTGGTTGAGTTGGTCATCGGGTGAGCTGAGGTTCGAGTCCAGGGGGAGAGTAGAGGATAGCAGGTCGGAGAGGTGCTGGGGATCGACAGAGCGTAAATTACGGAAGATGATGTTCCTGGGTGGGGGGGGGGTGGCGGACGGGGGATGCGATGATGAACTGTATGAGTTTGTGGTCAGAGAGGGGAAAGGGGCAGGGGTGGAGGTCGAGTACTGGGAGGTTGGTGGAGCAGACAAGGTCAAGGATGTGTCCTTTATCATGGGTGGGGAAGGTGACATGTTGGGTAAATGAGAAATTGTCCAGAAGGGAGGAGAATTCAGAAGCGAGTTTGCAGGTGGGGGAGTCCATGTGGATGTTGAGGTCGCCGAGGAGTAACATACGTGGGGAGAGGGATGAAGCAATGGTGAGGAGTTCAGTGAGATCAGAGAGGAAGGAGGGGTGTGGTTTGGGGGGGGCGGTAAATGAGGATAACTGTCAGTGAGGGAGTGGTTTTGAAGGCGAGGAATTCGAAGGATGATACTGAGGGGAGGGTGAGTTCTGTAGTCCGGATGTTCTGGTTGTAGATGACAGCCAGCCCACCACCACGGCGTGAGGGGCGGGGTTTAGTGATGTAATTAAAACCAGGGGGGGGATGTTTGATTGAGGGAGAAGAAGTCATTGGGTTGTTGCCAGGTTTCAGTGAGCAGAAGGAAGTCGATGGATTTGTCCAGAATTATTTCGTGGAGGATGTGGGCTTTAGTGTTGAGTGACCGGATATTGAGGAGGGCAAGATTAGTCAAGTGGGGGGTTGGAGGGGTGGTGGCAGGCTGGATAGGTGTGAGGTTGTCTGGGTTAGCAGCTCGGGTGTGGGCACGAGAGGGGAGGCAGTGGGGCAGAGGAGGGGGGCTTGATGGTGGGGAGAAATGGCTTATTATATGTTTTGGGTGGCGGAGGGGAGTGGGATCCGCTCCGGGTATTTCATGCCGCTGGGAGTGTAGATGAGCGGGGGAGAGTGTAAGAGGAGCAGTAGGAGTTGCATTCTGATGACGCGTCAGGTGTGCGACAGTGCGTTGGGTAGAGCAGATGGATGGTATGGATTGTCCGTGCTGAAAGTAAACAAAACTGCGGCGGGTGCTTCGGTGAATGTAGCGGGGTCGACGAAGGAGTCCAAGAAGTCTGATGACTGAGATGGAAGACGGGGTGGAGGAGATGTTGAGTGACAGAAGCTGTGAGATGGAGTATTTCAGCATGATGGCAGGTGGAAAGGCTGGGAGCAGTGTGTTAGCAGCGATAGCGGCTAGCAGGCTAGGTGCACAGAGGAGGAGGATTGTTGTGGAGACGAGGAAGATCCACGGCATGGCAGGAGGATGTGAACAGCGGGACAGGACAGATGCACCCCAGAGATGAAGGCAGGAGGCAGAGAGAGTCCACGGTTGTTGCGTGGGGTGGAGACAGACAAATAGGCGATGTAGCGGTAGCAGTAGCCACCCGGCACTTTGATGGCTGAGTGAGGGCAGCCGGCTACAGCCAGCAACGGAGGCAGAAGGTAAAGTAAGTTAAAAATGTTAAAAACAATGTGCAGTGCAGTGCAGTGCAGAGCAGTAGTCCAATTCGGAAGTTTTTGCAAGAACAGAGGGTAACAGAGGCGGAGAAGCGGCGAACAGTCAACGCCAGCGTCCTCTCCAGCGTCAGAGGAAATGAAGACAAAATGTCCGATGAAGATGAAAGAGGCTGGTGTTGATCCAACCTAAAGGACATCACATGACCCCTGCTTGACCTCCTGCAGTTGATGCAAACAGGTAAGTGGATCATGCAGTCAACTTGGGATTGTATCCTGGGACTTCAGCTCAGCATTCAGCAGTCCCCTGCTCCTACCTCACCCCTCCCACTGTCCCAGCCTTCACCTGGTGAGACATATACACCAATTAAAAGGCATGATTATTACAGTCAACCCTTATTCAGAGTGCCTAAATGTATATATTTTTTTACAGTGCAGATTTTGGCTTTTTTGGGACCATCGCACATGTGTGTAAGTAACAAGTAATGCTGTATAATCTGCAACAACTGTCAGGTGGTGTTATTGATCATCTTTGCAAAAGAGCCCCCACCAATATTGATTTTGACAAATATCTTTTAATTGAAATATGGGAGCAAAAACAAAAGGGTAGAATTGATCATATCATAATTATTGCAACTGTTTTTATTACATTGTGTTGTTTTGTTTATATATATATATATATTTGTGTGTGTGTACAAATGATTATTGCAACTGTGTTTATTATATTGTGTTGTTTTGTTTGTGTGTGTTTATTTATACACACATATATATGTGTGTGTATAAATGAATTAATATAAAGTGTATATGTGAGTGTGTGTATAAATGAATGAATAAATCTGTGTATAAATGAATAAATACACGTGTGAGTACATATAAGTGTGTGTTTATAAATGTGTGTATATATATAAAAACAGTATGTGTGTATATAAATGAATTAATAAAAGTGTATATATATAAAATAGTATCATTAAATAATGCTGTCAGATAAATGAAGTACACAGTAATAGTTAAGGTTATAGTCAATATTCTGCACTTACACCAGCTGATAAGATCTTTAAAACGTCTTTTGTTTGTCCTGAAAACGAAATTTGAGGATACACACAGGCTATTTATAGATGATAAAACACCAGTAATACAATCTCAGGACTCTTCGACATGGCTTTGATTATAGGATCGTTTACTTTCAGTTTCAGTCAAACCAACTATTCAATATTCTGCTTTACCGCGACAGCTATAACTGCCGAAGATGAAGTCTATGACGCTATCACGTAGCGCTACGTCGATGCTTGCGTAATGCGGAAGTGGGCTAGGGTTAGGGTTACATCTAAACTGGGTTGGAAAAACGATAGACGCGTCCGGGACGACAGCTGGAAATGAGCCATGTCGGCTAAAGCTGCTCAGTTTACTGTTTTTGTGACAGTTCATCGATGGGGACTGTCCACGACACCATGAATGAATAACTCAACTCAACATGATAAAGTCAAATATGTCATGCTTTTATTGTGAAATGGGAAAACTGTTTTTATAAAAGCAGATTTTTTTTATTGTGTGAATCAAATAATTAATGTTTGTTAAACAGATATTTAAATGAAATGGAAATAATAAAACAAGTTGATTCCCACAAAAAAATAATTAAACATTGGAGGGGAGGGGGGGGAGGGGGGGGGGGGGTGGTTACATCTTCAAACATTTCAGAATAAAACTTTATTAACACAGAAACCTTTAAAGAAAGTTTCCTTTTATAAAAAAATAACGGTTAAAAAAACATCTCAGCATCGGATCATCCCCAGAACCGCTGCCGGCCGGCGGGTGGAGTCAGCGCCTCCTGAGGGGCGGGTGGGAGGCTGAACACCGACCCCCCCGCCTCCACCGTGAACAGAAAGATCATGTTGGCGACCGTCATGGCGATGCTCGGCAGGAAGGAGAGGCCGAACCCGAAACCCCGGATACTGCTGCCGAACGCCGCCGCAACCCAGTACACCAGCCTGAGAATCAAAACAAACGCACCTTTAGTTAAACAAGCCTGAGACACAAAACAGACGCACCTTTAGTAAAACCAGCCTGAGACACAAAACAAACGCACCTTCAGTAAAACCAGCCTGAGACTCAATTTAAAGGTGGGGGTCTAATCCTGAGCTACAGGGGGTCCTGAGCTACAGGTGGTCCTGAGCTACAGGTGGTCCTGAGCTACAGGTGGTTCTGGGTTCTGAGTTCTGGGGGGTCTTACCTTCAGTTAAACCAGCCTGAGACACAAAACAAACGCACCTTCAGTAAAACCAGCCTGAGACACAAAACAAACGCACCTTCAGTTAAACCAGCCTGAGACACAAAACAAACGCACCTTCAGTTAAACCAGCCTGAGACACAAAACAAACGCACCTTCAGTTAAACCAGCCTGAGACACAAAACAAACGCACCTTCAGTTAAACCAGCCTGAGACACAAAACAAACGCACCTTCAGTTAAACCAGCCTGAGACACAAAACAAACGCACCTTCAGTTAAACCATCCGGAGACACAAAACAAACGCACCTTCAGTTATACCATCCGGAGACACAAAACAAACGCACCTTCAGTTAAACCAGCCTGAGACACAAAACAAACGCACCTTCAGTTAAACCAGCCTGAGACACAAAACAAGCGCACCTTCAGTTAAACCAGCCTGAGACCCAAAACAAACGCACCTTCAGTTAAACCAGCCTGAGACCCAAAACAAACGCACCTTCAGTTAAACCAGCCTGAGACCCAAAACAAACGCACCTTCAGTAAAACCAGCCTGAGACACAAAACAAACGCACCTTCAGTTAAACCATCCGGAAACACAAAACAAACGCACCTTCAGTTATACCATCCGGAGACACAAAACAAACGCACCTTCAGTTAAACCAGCCTGAGACCCAAAACAAACGCACCTTCAGTTAAACCAGCCTGAGACCCAAAACAAACGCACCTTCAGTTAAACCAGCCTGAGACCCAAAACAAACGCACCTTCAGTTAAACCAGCCTGAGACACAAAACAAACGCACCTTCAGTTAAACCAGCCTGAGACACAAAACAAACGCACCTTCAGTTAAACCAGCCTGAGACACAAACAAACGCACCTTCAGTTAAACCAGCCTGAGACACAAAACAAACGCACCTTCAGTTAAACCAGCCTGAGACACAAAACAAACGCACCTTCAGTTAAACCAGCCTGAGACACAAAACAAACGCACCTTCAGTTAAACCAGCCTGAGACTCAATTTAAAGGTGGGGGTCTAATCCTGAGCTACAGGTGGTCCTGAGCTACAGGGGGTCCTGAGCTACAGGTGGTTCTGGGTTCTGGGGGGTCCTGAGCTACAGGTGGTTCTGAGTTCTGGGGGGTCCTGAGCTACAGGTGATTCTGGGTTCTGGGGGGTCCTGAGCTACAGGTGGTTCTGAGTTCTGGGGGGTCCTGAGCTACAGGTGGTTCTGGGTTCTGGGGGGTCCTGAGCTACAGGTGGTTCTGGGTTCTGGGGGGTCCTGAGCTACAGGTGGTCCTGAGCTACAGGTGGTTCTGGGTTCTGGGGGGTCCTGAGCTACAGGTGGTCCTGAGCTACAGGTGGTTCTGGGTTCTGGGGGGTCCTGAGCTACAGGTGGTTCTGGGTTCTGGGGGGTCCTGAGCTACAGGTGGTTCTGAGTTCTTGGGGATCTCACCTCCCGAAGGCAAAGACCACGGTCAGCAGGGGGACCAGCTTCAGGTGGTCCTGGTTCAGGTACACTGACATGACGGACAGGTTCAGGAAGTAGATGAGGAACAGGGAAGCGGAGTCAGAGACGAAGCGTCGGTGCACAGAGACCTCAGGAAGGCCCGCCCCCTTCGCCTCGTCATCAAAGTGAGGGCCAATCACAGAGGACCTGAGGCGAGTGACACCCAGCACCACCCAACCTGAGAGGCAGACAGGTGACAGGCACATGTGAGACAGGTGAGAGACAGACAGGTGACAGGCACATGTGAGACAGGTGAGAGACAGACAGGTGACAGGCACATGTGAGACAGGTGAGAGACAGACAGGTGAGAGACAGACAGGCGAGAGACAGACAGGTGAGAGACAGACAAGTGAGAGACAGACAGGTGAGAGACAGACAGGCGAGAAACAAACAGGTGAGAGACAGACAGGTGAGAGACAGACAGGTGAGAGACAGACAGGCGAGAACAACAGGTGAGAGACAGACAGGTGAGAGACAGACAAGTGAGAGACAGACAGGTGAGAGACAGACAGGCGAGAAACAAACAGGTGAGAGACAGACAGGAGAGAGACAGACAGGCGAGAGACAGACAGGTGAGAGACAGACAGGTGAGAAACAAACAGGTGAGAGACAGACAGGCGAGAAACAAACAGGTGAGAAACAGACAGGTGAGAGACAGACAGGTGAGAGACAGACAGGTGAGAGACAGACAGGTGAGAGACAGACAAGTGAGAGACAGACAGGTGAGAGACAGACAAGTGAGAGACAGACAGGTGAGAGACAAACAGGTGAGAGACAGACAGGTGAGAGACAGACAGGTGAGAGACAGACAGGTGAGAGACAGACAGGTGAGAGACAGACAGGTGAGAGACAGACAGGTGAGAGACAGACAAGTGAGAGACAGACAAGGTGAGAGACAGACAGGTGAGAGACAAACAGGTGAGAGACAGACAGGTGAGAGACAGACAGGTGAGAGACAGACAGGTGAGAGACAGACAGGTGAGAAACAAACAGGTGAGAGACAAACAGGTGAGAGACAGACAGGTGAGAGACAGACAGGTGAGAGACAGACAGGTGAGAGACAGACAGGTGAGAAACAAACAGGCGAGAAACAAACAGGTGAGAGACAGACAGGTGAGAGACAGACAGGTGAGAGACAGACAGGTGAGAGACAGACAGGTGAGAAACAGACAGGTGAGAGACAGACAGGTGAGAAACAGACAGGTGAGAGACAGACAGGTGAGAGACAGACAGGTGAGAGAACAAACAGGTGAGAGACAGACAGGTCCTCACCCAGGACTACAGGCAGCACACTGAACACGGAGCACCTCAGGGTGTAGAGAGACAGACAGGTAGAGAGACAGACAGGTGAGAAACAGACAGGTGAGAAACAGACAGGTGAGAGACAGACAGGTAGAGAGACAGACAGGTAGAGAGACAGACAGGTACTCACCCAGGACTACAGGCAGCACACTGAACACGGAGCACCTCAGGGTGTAGACGACTCTGAGGGGGGGGCCGTCCATCAGGGGGGCGTCAAACGGCAGGAAGACAAACCCCCCCCACACCAAGAGAGGGAAGAACAGGGCCGCCGTCCCCAGAGAGACAGACAGCTTCAGCACATCCCTGCACCCCCCACCTGAGAGACAGACAGGTAGAGAGACAGGTTAGAGACAGACAGGTAGAGTCAGAAGGTTACAGACAACACTGGTGCACAGTAAGGGGGCGTGTCAGCAGGCGTCCTATCACTGACTGGTACACAGTAAGGGGGCGTGTCAGCAGGCGTCCTATCACTGACTGGTACACAGTAAGGGGGCGTGTCAGCAGGCAGCGTCCTATCACTGACTGGTACACAGTAAGGGGGGCGTGTCAGCAGGCAGCGTCCTATCACTGACTGGTACACAGTAAGGGGGCGTGTCAGCAGGCAGCGTCCTATCACTGACTGGTACACAGTAAGGGGGCGTGTCAGCAGGCGTCCTATCACTGACTGGTACACAGTAAGGGGGCGTGTCAGCAGGCAGCGTCCTATCACTGACTGGTACACAGTAAGGGGGCGTGTCAGCAGGCAGCGTCCTATCACTGACTGGTACACAGTAAGGGGGCGTGTCAAGCAGGCGTCCTATCACTGACTGGTACACAGTAAGGGGGGCGTGTCAGCAGGCAGCATCCTATCACTGACTGGTACACAGTAAGGGGGCGTGTCAGCAGGCCGTCCTATCACTGACTGGTACACAGTAAGGGGGCGTGTCAGCAGGGCGTCCTATCACTGACTGGTACACAGTAAGGGGGCGTGTCAGCAGGCAGCGTCCTATCACTGACTGGTACACAGTAAGGGGGCGTGTCAGCAGGCAGCGTCCTATCACTGACTGGTACACAGTAAGGGGGGCGTGTCAGCAGGCAGCGTCCTATCACTGACTGGTACACAGTAAGGGGGCGTGTCAGCAGGCAGCGTCCTATCACTGACTGGTACACAGTAAGGGGGCGTGTCAGCAGGCATCCTATCACTGACTGGTACACAGTAAGGGGGCGTGTCAGCAGGCGTCCTATCACTGACTGGTACACAGTAAGGGGGCGTGTCAGCAGGCAGCATCCTATCACTGACTGGTACACAGTAAGGGGGCGTGTCAGCAGGCAGCGTCCTATCACTGACTGGTACACAGTAAGGGGGCGTATCAGCAGGCAGCGTCCTATCACTGACTGGTACACAGTAAGGGGGCGTGTCAGCAGGCAGCGTCCTATCACTGACTGGTACACAGTAAGGGGGCGTGTCAGCAGGCAGCGTCCTATCACTGACTGGTACACAGTAAGGGGGCGTGTCAGCAGGCAGCGTCCTATCACTGACTGGTACACAGTAAGGGGGCGTGTCAGCAGGCAACGTCCTATCACTGACTGGTACACAGTAAAGGGGCGTGTCAGCAGGCAGCGTCCTATCACTGACTGGTACACAGTAAGGGGGCGTGTCAGCCAGCGTCCACTTGGCGCACTTAGGTATACTCACATTTGTTAGGGGGGGTGTCCTCTGTCGACTCGTACTGGAAGCCATGTTGGTTGTAGTCCTGTAGTCCTTGGGGACCCAGGAAAGGGCTTTTCTCGGACTGCGTTTCCCAGAATGCCTCAGGGTCTCTCAGCACGGTGACTGCAGGACTGAACACCTGAGCTGCTCTCTCCGGCAGCTGGTTCTCCTCACCTGTCTGTCTCTCACTCTCTGTCCAGCTCACCGCCTCACCTGTCTGTCTCTCACCTCTCTGTTTCTCACCTGTCTGTCCCTCACCTGTCTGTCTGTCACCAGGCCATGGCAGGGTGCTTGGCTCCATCACCCTCCTAATGTCGTTCGTTCGTCTGTCTGTCTGTCTGTCTGTCTGTCTGTCTGTCTGTATGTCTGTCTGTCTGTCTCTCTGTCTGTCTCTCTGTCTCTCTGTCTCTCTGTCTGTCTGTCTCTCTGTCTGTCTCTCTGTATGTCTGTCTGTCTGTCTGTCTGTGAAAGAGCAGAAACAGAGTCAGTAGTTTAATGATACATCTTGGATAAATGCTTATACTGGTGAACGCTGTTTCTAACAAAGTGACGCGCTTGGTGCACGTTAGCCCCGCCCACTGCAGTGACGTCAGCTTAATATTGAAAACATGAAAAATAAAAAGTGAATAAACACAAACAATCCGTGAGTTTCTGTCTGCGTGGATCCGCCAGTTACTCCCCACCGACTCCTTATTAAATACATATATAATATATACAACTCGTGTTAGTAAATACTTATATATAACTCCGAGCTAACATGCTAACATGCTAACAGCTGCAGTCAGGGTAAACTCAGAGGAAATAAAGGTTAAAGGAGATTAAAGTATGTTAAAGTATGTTAAAGTATGATAAAGTATATTAAAGTATATTAAAGTATGTTAAAGTATGTTAAAGTATGTTAAAGTATGTTAAAGTATGTTAAAGGAGATTCAAGTATAAACAGAGTGAACTCACCGGCTCGAGCAGCTCCTCTCTTCTGTTGTTGTTAAAGATCCCGGAAGCTCAGGTGAGTCACGTCAGGTGAGTGACGTCACAGCGTCCCAATTTTAATGCTGCAGTATTGATGTACCTATACATGTTATACTGCAGTACTGCTGTATACATGTATACTGCAGTACTGCTGTATACGTGTATAAGTACACCAGTATAGGTTATAATTATTAATATCAGACCACTCAGGTACAAGCACCTAAAGTACAGCAATGCAGTAAAAGTACTCTGTTACTGACCGCCGCTGATTTAAGTACACAAAGACACACAGTGTGAGACAGCAGCTGCAGATACAGTCAGTACCAGACACACACACACACACACACACACACACACACACACACACACACACACACACACACACACACACACACACACACACACACACACACACACACACACGCACACACACACACACACACGCACACACACTGAGACACACACACACTGAGACACACACACACTGAGACACACACACACACACACACACACACACACACACACACACACACACACACACACACACAGAGAATCTAAACATGGTAATGAAAGTTCTGTCTTTGTGTTCACAGAGCTGCCAGCAGAGGGCAGTGTGTGAGTGTGAGTGAGTGTGTGTGTGCGTGTGTGTGTGTTGCCATGGTAACAGTGGTATCAGTGAGTACCAGGGAGCAGCTGTTAGTAACAGTCCTCAGTAATACTACATAAATATACATGTTATAGTGAAATATAAGCATATGTATAAGTTCTACACGTGTATTATACGTGTATACGTACTATAGTGTGTGTATTATACATGTATAAGTACTACAGTTGATGTATTATACGTGTATAAGTGCTACAGTTTGTGTATTATATGTGTATAAGTACTACAGTTGATGTATTATACGTCTATAAGTACTACAGTTGATGTATTATACGTGTATACGTACTATAGTGTGTGTATTATACATGTATAAGTACTACAGTTGATGTATTATATGTGTATAAGTACTACAGTTTGTGTATTATATGTGTATAAGTACTACAGTTTGTGTATTATATGAGTATAAGTGCTACAGTTTGTGTATTATATGTGTATAAGTACTACAGTTTGTGTATTACACGTGTATAAGTACTACAGCTTGTGTATTATATGTGTATAAGTACTACAGTTTGTGTATTATATGTGTATAAGTACTACAGTTTGTGTATTATATGTGTATAAGTACTACAGTTTGTGTATTATATGAGTATAAGTACTACAGTTGATGTATTATACATGTATAAGTACTACAGTTGATGTATTATACGTGTATAAGGACTACAGTTGATGTATTATACGTGTATAAGTACTACAGTTTGTGTATTACACGTGTATAAGTACTACAGTTTGTGTATTATATGTGTATAAGTACTACAGATTGTGTATTATATGAGTATAAGTGCTACAGTTTGTGTATTATATGAGTATAAGTACTACAGTTTGTGTATTACACGTGTATAAGTACTACAGTTTGTGTATTACACGTGTATAAGTACTACAGTTTGTGTATTATATGTGTATAAGTACTACAGTTTGTGTATTTCTGATCATTTGTCTTTGTGTTATGAAGCAGGAGGTGTGTTTGTTTGGGACCTCCCTCCGGGGCGGGTGGGGTTAGTGTTTCGGGGTTCCACGTCACACAGCAGCGTGTTGGCCGGTCTTTGAGGGGGGGGCGGGGTTAATGGAGCCTCATGTTCATCCACCACGTGACCTCTTGCAGCCTTGTGATTGGTTCCTTCGTGTCACGTGTCACGGTGACACGTTGTCATAGAGACTGACTCCGTCCACGCAGCCCACTCCGCTGCCCCGTCGCGAAAACAAGCGTTCCCTAACAGATGCTGGTGGGCGGGGCTTACAGTGCGTGCGGTGCGCTGATTGGCTGGCTGTCGCAGCAGCGGGCTGAGCTGTGGTTGGTCAGAAGTAGAGCCCGGAGCTGTCAGTCAGAGTGACGCCCCGCCCCCAGGCTCAGACTGCGGACGGACCCGGACCAGAACCCAGCGCTCCGTACCTTTACCGAATATTACCGATCACTACCGATCCTTAACGATCATTGATCTGAGAGATCGATCAGCGGGGAGATGTCCCGGCTGCTGGAGAGCAGGAGGCAGGACAGGATGAAGGAGATCAACCTGAAGGTAACAAAAAGACACGAGCACACGGGCGCGTGCACTGATCGATGCTTAATATCACCGTGCGCGCGATCAGATAGTTTTAACGTGTTTCCGGTGAGAGGGGAACTCCTCAACATCTGCCCGTTACACTGTGTGTGTGTGTGTGTGTGTGTGTGTGTGTGTGTGTGTGTGTGTGTGTGTGTGTGTGTGTGTGTGTGTGTGTGTGTGAGAGATAGAGAAGTTAACGGAACTCAGAAACGGGAAACTGTTTTTCTCACAGTTCAAACTGAAACGCAGTTAACGTTTAAATACAGGAGTGTGTGTGTGAGAGTGTGTGTGAGAGAGTGTGTGTGAGAGTGCGTGTGTGAGTGCGTGTGTGAGAGTGCGTGTGCGCTTTTTTTGGTCCGTTAGCAGCAGCGTGGACGCTTTGTCCTGCAGGAGGAAACGAGAGGGGGAGGGGAGCTGTGTGTGTGTGTGTGTGTGTGTGTGTGTGTGTGTGTGTGTGTGTGTGTGTGTGTGTGTGTGTGTGTGTGTGTGTGTGTGTGTGTGTGTGTGTGCGTGTGTGGATACAGGAAGTGTTGGTCAGGAGTGAAGCTGGATGTTTGACCTCTGATCTCGGACTAAACTATAAAACAAAATGAATCAAAGTGTTTTAGTGAGAGAGCAGAGAAAGAGATGAATACGAGCTCTCTCTCTCTCTCTCTCTCTCTCTCTCTCTCTCTCTCTCTCTCTCTCTCTCTCTCTCTCTCTCTCTCTCTC